TAAGACAGAGAATATATTATTGCCCTTATATAAATCCATGGTACACCCACATCTTGAATATTGCGTACAGATGTGATCTCCTCATCTCAAAAAAAGATATACTGGCACTAGAAAAGGTTCAGAGAAGGGCAACTAAAATGATTAGGGGTTTGGAGAGGGTCCCATATGAGGAGAGATTAAAGAGACTAGGACTTTTCAGCTTGGAAAAGAGGCGACTGAGAGGGGATATGATAGAGGTATATAAAATTATGAGTGATGTGGAGAAAGTAGGTAAGGAAAAGTTATTTACTTATTCCTATAATACAAGAACTAGGAGTCACCAAATGAAATTAATAGGCAGCAGGTTTAAAACAAATAAAAGGAAGTTCTTCACACAGCGCACAGTCAACTTGTGGAACTCCTTACCTGAGGAGGTTGTGAAGGTTAGGACTATAACAGCATTTAAAAGATAACTGGATAAATTCATGGAGGTTAAGTCCATTAATGGCTATTAGCTACGATGGGTAAGGAATGGTGTCCCTAGACTCTGTTTGTCAGAGGGTGGAGATGGATGGCAGGAGAGAGGTCACTTGATCATTACCTGTTAGGTTCACTCCCTCTGGGGCACGTTGGCATTGGCCACTGTCGGTAGACAGGATACTGGGCTAGATGGACCTTTGGTCTGACCCAGTATGGCCATTCTTATGTAACTTAGTTGCAAAGCAAACTTTCTACCACATGTTCCAGCAAATTATTGACCAAATCTTCAGGTCAGAACCCAGCCCCCAGAGTCCAATAGCTGTTTTATCTGCTCAGGTGCAGAGGATGAGGTGGACAGGAGGAGAGAGAGGGGTACCTTAGGGTGTTTCTCCCTTCTTTTTGTAGTTTCAGTCCCCCTCTTGAAAAACATTTCCAGCTGAGACCCAGGAGACAAAGAGTCTATGTGAAAGGATATTCCCTAATGTTTTTTTTCACTTGTTTGAACTTCCTTTGTTTTCCCTCCTGCTTGATGACTCTGTTTACTGCTTAAATACAAATTAAGGGAGGCACACGTTCATTTGTTTAGGAGAGACCTGTTTGCTGACTTCTACTTGGGCAGGGCTGTGGTGTTTGCAACAGGTATTAATGTCATACAGAAAAATCTTATAACTTCACATACAATGTTGTCACACATATTTTATCAGAATGATACTGACCAGCAAATTATGCGTTTTCAAATGATAACTTACAAGGCAGACCTTGTACAAAGATTATTACAATAGTGTATAGGGTGTGAATACAGGGGTGTGTTCTGTCACACCCTCTTTCTCAGAGCCTAGCTACTACTTGGACTTCTTGAGATACAGAAGAACTGGCGATGATTAGGAGAAGATGGTGCTTTTTCTGCCTCAGCCTAAAGGGGGGTTGGTATCAATGTACAGTCACATGCCCCCTACTGTAACTGCTCTAAAAAGGTTTTGTGACTGCTATAATGCTTCTTAGGGCATCCAGAACAGTGAGTCACCTTGTCACCACCTGCCTCCAGCATGAGGGGGCCTTGCTTTTGCTGGCTGGGTGTTGGTCCCCTAACACAATCAGCCTGTCAGCAACTCAAGCACTATCCTTTGAGCTACACCAGCTCTGTCTTTGCCTTGTAGGTTGACAAAGATGCCCCCCCAGACCATGAGCCCATTCAGAGTGTCCCCCTATATTATCCATCCACTGATCATGGGATATCCACAGAAATCTCAGATCCTCTGTTTCCAAAGGAACAATGTACCCCAGTTTCACCTTACACCCTTGCTCCTGTGTTATGCATGGCACTTGAGTTCAGTTATAAAAAAAAGAAAAAAGAAATAATAGAGATTAAATTAAAACGCAGTGTAAGAGATGGGAACCTATGGTAAATATAAAACAACATCACAACATGCCTTCCAAAGCTTAAACTTAACTAACAAGTTATCTTCCTATCTTAAGAAGTTTATCTCACCAAAAGTTATCTCCAGTGTTTCCAACCAAGCCTGGTTGAAAAGACCTCTTCTCATAAAATGAAGTTTGCTGGCAGCTTGGCCTCACAGATTGAAGAGATCACTAGGGGTTCATCTGCATGCCGATATAGTTTCAAAAGTTCATTGTCTTACCCCTAAACACAATAACTCCTGCTGCTCTTCCTGTTAATTTCACAATCGTTCATTAAGATTTGGCTGCCGCAGGTGAGTGGATGCCCATTGTGAAGCATACAATGCTCAACATGCACATGACCAGCCAGAGAGAGATAAGCATCTTTCCCCCCTCTTGCAGTTAGTAAGGAGAATGGGAGACAGTCCAGCAAGGGATCCATTCGCCCAGAGAGCCAGAAGCTGTTTGTAACCTCCGGAGCAGTTCAGCCAGTCACAGAACAGCACCATGGCCAAGCATGATGCTGGAGAAGGCACCTCTGGTGAGTATGGCAAGTCCAATTAATATCTGGAGGTCACATATTCTTACACTCTGTTTAATTAAAAAAAAATGATGAGGTACAGTATCTATTTGCTTCCCAGTAGCTGCACCAGGTAGGCAGAGAGTGCCCCATGAAAAAGGCTGTTTATGTGCACAGGGATGGCCCAGGAATCCTCTATAGAGATCTACCATATCTCTTTTTCTTCTGTTATCATCAATGGTAGCAGATATTGTAATCAAGAAGAGTAATTAAAGAGAAATTGCTTCCAAAGTTGGCATCTTTCAGTCACTTCTCTGACAGTCAACTGAACCATGTAAAATGGCAAATATGAATCAAAAACAGAGCATGGATGATGTGAAAAAAACCTTTTATATTGGCTTGAGCAGGCATGAAATGATGCAACTGTAAGTGTTCAGGACTCTGGAAATACACAGCAGTACAGTTAACTGTATTCAGAAGGATTCTGGAGATACATGGCAGTACAATTATAATTTGTACCATTAATTACTTCTACCTTACTGATTACATTAAGCAGTGACCAATGTATTTTAAAATCTAAATGTTTAATATGATTACCACTTTAGATTTAATTGTTCATGGAATTGCAATGCATTGACAATTATGCATTGACAAAAATGTTGGGGTCTGTGATTTGGTTTCCTCCCCCTTTTCTGGAATGGTCAATGGCATCAAGAATGCATCAATCATTGGTTTAAGCCAGTGGTTCTCAAACTTTTGTACTGGTGACTCCTTTCAAATAGCAAGCCTATGAGTGCGACCCCCACCTTATAAATTAAAAACACTTTTTTATATATTTAACACCATTATAAATGCTGGATGCAAAGCGGGGTTTGGGGTGGAGGCTGACAGCTCGTGACCCCCCATGTAATAACCTTCCAACCCCCTGAGGGGTCCCGACCCCCAGTTTGAGAACCCCTGGTGTAAGACATACCTGTGCTTATATGTATCACATGTACTAAATGTGATAATGACTTTCACTGTGCAAAACAGTCTTAAGACTGTTCTATGGTACATTTTAACTATTCAAAATCTGTGTGTGCTTTCTGTTACTTTAATATATTAAGAAATTGTCTTGATGTCAAAAATATGTGTTTTTTTTACTGCTTTTAGGGCTTTTGGTTTACTTGTGTACTTACCTTAACATCATTTGATTTTAATAAATTAAGTGCATGCTTGGTGTAAAAGAATCTTGTAAAATTCAAAGATCATAGCAGTACTTGCTTTAAACAATCCTGAAAATTTTCTTTCCCTTATAAATTTTGTTTCCTTGTCTTTGAATATCTAGTGTCCCTATAGCAGTTGATTGTTGTTATATAGTTGTATGTTTACAAGTAAAGGTTAGGTTGTGGAAAGGATAAAAATGCTTTGTGCTGAGCCTACTAAGGCACTTACGTCGACCTGACTCAAGTGTCTATACTAAAATGCAGCTCTCACCGATGTAACTCGCCCACTACACTGACTTAATAACTCCACCTCCGCGAGAGGCGTAGTGCTGAGGTCGATTTAGTTAGATTGACGCAATGTCAGTGTAGATCAGTGATATACAGACAGAGGCTCGCGAGCCACAAGTGACTCTTTAATGTGTATCCTGTGGCTCTTTGCAGCACATGATATTAAGACACGGTATGATTTAATTATTAACCAATCAGAATCCTTTTACTGTTATTAACCAATTGTGGTTGATAAAATAATAATACTTCGTCAGTCATTTTGCTGTGAGAACTATATATATACTGTTTAAATATGAATATGTAGTACTATAGTAAATGAAACAATGAATTCACACTACTTCTTCTGGGTAATGTGATTGGATCGCTAATTTGGTTCCTGAACTACTGAGGTCTGAGAATCACTGGTGTAGACACTGTGTTGCTTACACTGACTGTTGCTACTTTTCAGAAGCTATCCTGCAATACCCCACTCTGACAGTTAAATTGGTGCAAGCACTCCTGGTGAGGACACAAGAAGCGTAGTGCGGCCATGTAAAACCGATTCAATTACAGCAATGGCTGTACATCGAAGTAACTTAGGTAAACTTAATTTAGAAGTGTAGACTTCACCTAAGTTAAGTCATTTGATTAAAAGAACTGGCCCCAATTGAGAAGAGCGAGCAGGGCTAGTGAATAGGACATTGGACTGAGATTTAGGAGATCTGGGTTTTATTGATGCACTGCCTCTGACCTGTGCAATGACAAGCAAGTTATTTCACTTCTATGTCCCGGGTTTCCCCACCTGTAAATAATAATGATACTGACCTTCTTTGTAAAGCATGTGGAGATCTACAAAAATATGCTATATGAGAGCACATTATTTTTATTATAGAGCTTTAAATAGAAAGGGGATCTTAACATTAACTATAGAGGAGCTACCTCTTCACTATAATTATTCCCTGTGCTTAATCAAAGAGATTTTACTATTTTTTTAATATTAACTGTCTATTGTTTGCAAGTTCACTTAAAATTTGCTGGCACCTCATTAACAAACTAATCCTCCAAATGTCTTGAGTCCCCCATTCACTCTTTTCCCCACTCGCAACCAGCCAGCTCTCCTCCAATTTCCCCAAGTCTTTGGGACAATTGAATTCTATGTACAAAAGAGGAGATCCTTGATTCCACAAATCCAATGTTCCATCTCTGGCTATGGCCCATGCTGGTTGCTTCTGGGGTCCCCCTTGCTCCTGTCTTTCTCTTCCAGTGGTATGCAAGAGAGGACTAAATGGACAAATGCAGACTGGAAGCAGGGTTACAAACGGGGCTTTTATTTCAGAGCGTTTAGTGTATTTACAAGAGTTTAAAAAAATTCTCCTGATCCTCTGCAAGAGACAGAGGATGCACGCTCAAAAGGTGTGAGGATAATTTGAGCCCTTAGCTACTCCATACCTAACAAGGGCTAACACTTGGAAGAATGTAACAGTGAGCGCTCATGGGATGGAGCCTGGGAAGTAGTGTGAAATTATTCAGAAGTCCCTAACAAAATATATGCCATCATATTTGCAGTTAAATCAGATTAAGCAAATCATCCAGAGGCAGATACACATATGAGGCCACAGTCACGCATGCCTGCCTTGTCTGAGTGTAAGCAGAGATATGCAAATGCACTCATGCCACCATATGTGCATGCACTTTTCCATTCTCAACCAGTCATTCATGTTCGCACACAGGCAAACACATTCAAAGCCACACTCACTCCCATCCATGCACACTTGCTCTTGTCCATGCACACACACACAGTGACACACATACATGTACTTTGTTAATGCTCTTTTACATGCGTTTTAGGTACAGAAAAGAGCTATAGAAATAGCACCAATCTCACCTGACTTATCAGCACCTGAGAAACCCCATTACTCCCCTCGAGCAATAGAGGAACAGGAAGCTAACTTCTCCCTCTTTCTTGTGGTGGCACCATCCAACCCCTGAACACCCATGACTGGGCCCCAATCAGTGTTCCCTTTCCAGGGCTGGGAGTTTGGGTTCTGTGTTATAGGTTGGCCTCCACGTTTTGGTCACAGAATCAGTCTGTTTTGTCCTTTTGGAAGTGCTCCCCTGTGGCAGTTGCTGTAGGACTTTCTCTTGGTTTGAAGGCATAAGTGACTTTGTGGTTCACTGAAAAGTGATCATTAACCTTCCACCAGCATCACCTGCTGCCAACCCCAACAAACATACCAGAGGGGGTGGGGAAAAGAGGTGGAGACGCACAAGAAAGAAAGAGTGGATTAGAATCCTCTCTGAAGAGGAGGGACAGAGCTAGAGAAGGGAGCACTAAAGCAGAAGAGGTTAGAGTTGCCTGTGCAGGAGATATGAATGGGGGTTAGGGCTGCCCGGCCAGCGCCTCCTGGATAGCCTCGCTGCAACCACTCAGCTCCATCTGGTTGAGGACGTAGCTGATGCGCTCCACTGTGGCACCCTGGCCCATCTGCAGCCTCCATTGTCTCAGCATCTCGTATTGGGCATCCCGCACGCGCCGCTGCTCCAGCTCGATTCGCTCAATCTCATAGTCACTCAGCCCCAGGCGTCGCACAAACTCCTTCCACCGAGACAGCAGCACATGGTCCGCCACAGTATAGAGAACAACAGGGTCTGGTGAAACAAGCAAGGGGACATCAGCAGCAGGGTCTGGGGAAGTGGAGGGGGGATGCAAATTGCGCCGGTGTAGTCTGGGGTGAGAAACATGATGGTGCCATGTAGGGAAGCACCTCCCCCAGATCACGTCTTGCACCCCTCTAAGCGATCACACAGACACGTCACATCTGGGTCTGAGCCTATCTACAAATGAATATGGGGGACCCCGCAAGCTTGTTCACAGGAATGGTCTTGCGTACACATGCACACACATACCAGGCCATTCTTGTAAAGATGCTTGCACTGTGTCACTGCCATACATTCACACAGTAAAGTACAGCAAGCCATAAACTCACCAAAACAAGACTGTCCAGGACTGGACACATGCAACAGGCCACTCTTGGCTGGCCTCAGGCAAACACCAACACATGTGAACTCATATGTACTAGATCTGTTTTGGGCACAGGGCTGCAACTGATGCACAGAGTTGTCATGCACATATGCACACAGGTGCACATGCTGCACAGGCACATGCACATCCCACCCCCCCCCGTGCGCACAGAAATCCTGTTTCTCAGGGGAAGCTGCACTCACTGTCTGGGAGTTGAGTCTTTCCAGCAGGTCTGACACAATCTGGTAACTCCTGTTCAACCATTGACCTTGGCACAGAATTGGCTGTCCACATATTTTCGATCTGAGGTGGTACCGGAGCAAAGGTGGCAGCTTTCCTCTCATTTATCACAACCTGTGAGAGACAAGTATTTACTCCGGAATCACCGCTGGGGCAGCCCAACACCACTATATCTGAGGGGAACAGCTGCCACTGCACACTTAACAGGGTAAAGAGAGATGTGGATCAGGGACCCAGAAGTTAAATCTTCCCCGTGAGGGAGGGGAACTCCCCACAGACACCTTATTTGTGAGGATGGAGTCAAACATTTCTTACTCGCACAGCAAGAGGGTTAAACTTTCTCTTGGCATCAGAAAATGGGGGTCTAAGAGGAAACATCTACAGAACTGAGTCATGCCGGGAGCCCAGCTCAGGGCCCCATGCTCTCAGAGACCTCAAACGAGTTCCAGAGGAGGGAGGGGACAGTCCCTCTTTATACAGTCTTGAGGAGACCCCAATACTGTGCTCAGCTCTGAGCTCCTTAATCCCAGAGAGGTAGCGACAAATTGAAGGAGCTCAGAGAAGAGCCACAGAAATGCTCAGGGAACTGGAGGGATCAAGTTCTGAGGAGAAATTCAATGAGCTAAATCTGCCAGGCTTGGCCAAGCCAGGCATAAAGGATGGATGTGTATGTAGGGGGACAGGGTGGGACATGAGAGTCATCTGCAAGTGTCTGAGAAGCATGAATCCTGAGAGAGAGAGAACGGGGCAAGATGAAGCCTGGGGATAGGAACTCAGGAACTAGTCCTCACTAGTCGGGCGGGGGGTCTGTGAAACTGAGAAGTTGTCTCTTTGTATATACAGCCCAGAGCCCTAATGCTCGGGACGTTCAGAAGTACGAACCCTGAGAACAGGCTGAGGGGAAGAATATTGCCCTGGGCCCCAGGCAGGTGGAATGGGACTGAGGGGAATGATAATCTGAAGGTAGGTTTCTGCACTGAGTACCTTGCTTACTTCAGATACCGGCTCCTTCTTTGGCTGCTGCGTAGAAACTGAAAAAAAAGGAGAAATTGTTTTCACTTCCTTCTCTCCAAGATATACAGAAAAAGCAGCTCAAGCCCATGGGTACCTCCACAGCTCTGACTTCACTCGAGGGATTGTGGTGAAATGCACAAATCCCAGCAACGAGCTCATGGGAGGGATTCTCGTCACAGGCGTGAGAATGGATGCAAGACTGTAAGAACTGCCAAAATCAGGACAATGAGCGCATCTACTCTGGCCAACCCCCATATCTCCCTCCCCCCCAACGCCCCCAAAATCCGCCCAGCCGGTATCACCACAGAGACTGTTGTACTCACCACATGAGTAAAAAATAGCGGTTGTCACTCTTTGACGGTATTGCTTGATCAATTTAACTGCAAAGAGCAGCCCAAGGCTAGCTGCAAGCACAACGACGAGGCCAATGAGTAAGATGGTATGACCTAGATGAAGGAGAGAGATCGAGTGAGTAACAGAAGGAAGGGGAGAGGGTGGGAGTAAGGACAGGAGCAAGACTGGAAAGGGAACATGTGAAGATGGGGACGGGAGTGAAAGCAGAGGAAAAGTGGGGAGAGAGGAGGATGGATAGGGCTGTCTTAGGGCAGGGGTGATGGGGTTGGTAGTGAAAGCAGAAGCAAATGTTGGAGAAATGCCAATACCCTGCGTACCCCAGTAGTCATTCTTCACTGAGGGGAACGCTGATGGACTCGGCATTGCGGGACAGTCCTTCTTACATTCTTCTTCATTACAGCTGAAAGAGGAAGCAGAAATCTGAGTGATGTGGGGAGTGAGGGCACCATGTTTCAAGTATTCCCAGGGACTGCCCCATTTCACAGCTCCTTGCAAATCTGCCTGGTGACAGCACTGGGGGGCAGCCTGAGCCTGGAAGATAAGGTTATTCAATCTGCCTGCAGAAGGTCAGTGTCTAATGGAGTCCACTCACTGTTGCACAAGTAGGTGGAGCATAGGAACAGGACACCAACCTGCTGCAAGGGTTGCAGTTATTTTTGTGCAGGAAGTATCCATGGTGACATACACAGATCGTGTCACTGTCCTTTGCACCTGTAGAGAAAAGAGGGAAATGTCAGCCCCAGGGGAGATGACGGAGAAGGAAAATCCCTCTAGGGTGGGGAGAGGATGATCTCTCTTTGGGGGTAGGGAAATTGTTGTCAGGAAGGTGAATCACTCGATGGCACGAGTGTTTGAGAGGAGATGGGGGCAGGTGTGACACTCCCTGGTAGCTGGTGGTTGGGGAAAACTGTTCCAGAGCAGGGGGAGCACAGGACAGAGGGAAACTGCTCCAGTGTAGCAGAAACTGGGTTGAAGGATGGAAATAGAGAAGTACACAAGGGAAAATATTCACTACAGAGCAAGCAGGAGGGGAAGGAGAGGGAGAAGTGGCTCCAGAGCAGCAGGCATGGGTGAGGAAGCCAATCAGGACAGGGCGGAGGGGGAAATAACTCTGAGGTGTGGGATGTCATGTGTGGGCAATATCTATAAGGAAAAATGCTCTAGTGTAGTTGTCAGGGAAACTGCTCAAGGGGAAGTCATACCATTTTAGATGTGGGAGGGAGGGAACCAGCTAAAGGCCGGGCAGGGCGGAGAGAGGCAAAACTCACTTGAGGAAAGGAGGGAAAATGGCTCCAGAACTCATAGGGGGGATGGGGAGAGCACTAGGGGGAGGAGGGAGGGAAATAGCTCTAAGTCAGAGGAGAGGGAAGGAAATTGCTCAAGGGCAGGGGGAGGAGGGAAGTCATTCTAGGGCAAGTGTGAGTGTGTGCAAGTGTGAGAGAGAGACAAGCCGGAATGGGAAGGGGCAGGGCAGAGGAGGGGACTCGCCTAAGGGGCAGGGAAATTCATACCAGGGAAGGTGTGAGATGTGGAAGGAGAAAATTGCCAAGGAGGGGGAGACTAGCTTCAGAACAATTGGGGAGGGAACTGTACTATGGGAAAAGAAGGAAAACAGACTACAGGAGAAAGGGAATGGAGGAGGAAGTGAGTCTAGGTCAGGAGGGAGGTGGTGCAGAACTAAGGCCTGGTCTACACCAGAAAATTAGATCGGTTTAACTATGTTGGTCAGGGATGTAAAAAATCCACACCCCTGGCCTGAGTGGCATAGTTAAGCTGATTTAAGTCTCTGTGTAGACAGTGCTAGGTCGATGGAAGAATTCTTCAATCAATCTAGCTACCATCTCTCAGGGAGGTGGATTATCTATGACAATGGGAGGCGTTCTCCCATCAACATAGGTAGTGTCTATACTGAATCGCTACAGTGGTGCAACTGTAGCA